AACTTTATGTTATGGTGGACTCGTGCGTTCAGTTTAAGGATTAGTTAGTGACTTGAGCTCAACAGGTTCTTTGTATTTGTCTGTAATTTGTGATTTCAGATGCGTCAGTTAAGCATATCTCAGCTGACTGTGGTGTGTGCAAGAAGCGGATGTCATTGGCAAACGCGTATCTTCATCTGTTCCGTGAACACCTCAGTTCTGTTGTTTATGGCACAGTTTCTGGACAGGTACGGTACCTTTGGTCTCTGGAAATAAGAGTTGTTCCAATTTCGGTTTGATTTCAGGTGTATCCAGAACATCAGAATCTTCATATTGATGAAAGTCTTGGTGAGGCTGCGATAAAAGATTCCGTTATCTACTCACCGTCCATTGATCAGCAGCATCCGAAAGATCGAAACGCCCGTGATCTGGTGTTGTACAAGAGACCAGCTAATGTGAGTTTATTATTCCACAAGTAAGGCACTTCCTAGGTATTTGTTTACAAATTTCATTAATATCAGTGGGTTTCCCTGACAATTGTCAAGGATAACCTGGAACATTTCATTTCTTTCTCCTATTTTGTTGGTGCAACCATTTCATCTCCTCGCCAATTCCTCTGACAGCTTCAGCGGGTTGCTTCTCTTTTCCTGCTTGTCAGATTTAATCCCTAACCACTGCGAGATGCCCTCACCATTTTTTTTCGGTCCAACGTGAAACTTTGCAGTGCGCTATTCTACGCCCTTCGACCTCACAGACGGTCTTTTGAGCACTATGCCCGAAATAGACTACCAATTGCTCAAACGAACTCGAAAAAGCGTTGCGCTGTTTAGGTGGTCTGTTCTTGTTATTTATGCGGTATGGAAATGGTTAGTCTCGAACAACTGTCAAGGCATCTTGCCAAGCACACAGAGAAATGGTCACGATGTCCTTTCTGCTACGGTGAGTGAAGACTTCATTAATATTCCGGTTGTCGTTTTTTGGTGAATTTCTTCGAAACCTTGGTTGCTACCCTTTCACTACATGACGTTGGTTGGAGGCGATCTGAGAGGTGCTGTCATTTGGGGATATTTGTTGAGCCACACTCCCACACTGAGGGTGTGACTGATCATTTATTCGATGGGAGTCCTTTGACCGCCCCTCTCTGCATTTTCACCGCTGCCTTCAGTGGTTACTAAGTTAGAGAAGACAATTTTCTCAGTTTTAATTTCTTCACAGATCACTTAGTCACAACTTCGTCCATATTTGATGT